CTGTCACGACGAGTTTAAAGATAAATTTCTTGAATAAAAAACCAAAAAAAAAATACAAAATAAAATAAATTCACGGAGAGATAAAATGAGGAAGAGAGAGAGAGAGAGAGGGGGGGGGGAAGAAAAAGCGTGAGAGTGGATAAAGTGAAATATTGCAAGTGAAGCTGTTTTACTTTCTAATTTTCAAGTTGAAGGATATATAGTGTATCTACGAAATACACACCTACTTTTCACAAATATCCCAAAGGAGAAGAGGATTCATCGACGAGAGGAAAAGATATAAGAACGGTGAATTCTTTTTCCTCTTTTGCTAGCCTCTTTTCTGATCCCTCGACAAAGAAAGAAAAATCCTATTACTGTAGGAAGGGATCATACCTCTAATAGATATATCGAATTTTTTTTCTTTTTTCTTGCTTCTTTCATCTCTCAGCTTTTTCCTCGTTCTCTAATGCAATGATTTTTCCAATGTAAAAAAAAAGAATATCTTACGTGTAATCGATAAAAGTATCAGTTAAGTATTATCTATTACCTGTCTAACAGTTGAAACAAAGACCGAATGTGTTAGACAGTATTCATGTACTAGCATAAACGAAGACTAATGTGATCAGATCAGATCTAGAACCAGCAAGTTCGTTGCGAAAGACGACGAAGACGACGACGACGATGACAATGACGAAGACGACGACATACAACGCTTATTTGAAATTTAATGGATCTATTTTGGCGTTGACGTGTTGAGGGAAGGAGTTGGAAAAGTTTATTATCGAGAACGAAACACACATGTATATACACACACACATATTTGGTTATATGTGTATGCTTACCATATTGTTACAAGAGAAAATCAATTTTACGATTCGTCCTAACCAGTAACCATAAGCAACCGAGATCCGATCCGATCCGATCTCATAGCGTTTCTACCAATATCGAGTCTACTTTTACGCAGTAGTACGAACCAGTCGGTTCCTATTCGGACTAAGTAGACGACGGGTATTCGGTCTACCGCGACACAACTAGTTACAAGTTTGACTTTAGGATAACTAGGGTGCTATACTACTAGAAAGCTCTGGTATACTTGTTAATGGAAGCAAACGTTGAATCGGTCACTTCCTAACTACGCGACTATATAACTCATTCCTTTTCACTTTTTTCTCCCCCTGTTTTCTATCCATCTTTTTCTCCCCTTAAGTAAATAAACTATTAACCATTTTCTACGAGCTTTATCTAACCCCTCGATCTTGCAAATTGTAATTCCAACAGTTCTACCCTATAATCAAACACGTTTAGGTTATAATGTATAGTTGTTCTGTTTGACATGACAGAATAAACAATTTCACTGTCGTTCACTATATATCAACAATTAAGTACCCTCAAGAAAATCTCATTTTATTCATATTACCATATATCAATTTTCCATTATATTTTTCGTTGGTACAAAACAAGCATAGTTCGTCGATTGACGCGATGAGGTTTGAAGAGGGATGGGAAAGAGACTCGAACGGTGATGGGGTGCAAGGTAATGGAAGTAAAAATGCAGAGAAAGAGAAGCAAGCATCTAGGAAAGAGGAAAAGTTAGTGGTGGGGGATGGCAAGGATAATAAATATGCCCGGACCCGGCGCCCATAAATCCCACGTAATTGAATTTTCAACATCTATAACTAGCCGTCGCTCGGTGCGACCTAGGAAAACGGGGATGTATCTTGAAGAACGAAGCTAGATGATTTCTTCTATCGTTGCACTTCTCGATGAACGACCATCCCCTTTTTCGGCTTTAACTTCTCTTCCTCCCCTACCCCAACTTCATTTTATTTCCCTTTTTTTTCTTTTTGCCATCCCTTTTCCTGCCTGTTAGGACAATCGATCCTTCGATGTTCCCAACTTGGCTCTATTTTTAATTCGCTTCGCGAGTCGGTTTGTTCAACTTCTCCTGCACCTTCATATCTCTTAACTTCCCATTTCCTATTTTTCTATTTTTTTTTTCTTCCTTTCTTTTTTTATTCGTCGTCATCTTCTTCTTTTTCTTCTTCTTCTTCTTCTTCTTCTTCTTCTTCTTCTTCTTCTTCTTCTTCTTCTTCTTCCTTCGCTTCTTCTCTTGACTCTCCAAGAAATCGAAGAGTTCCTTTGACGCGAACATCTAATCAAGGATTTCCTCGACCCCAGACTCTTCCTCCTTGTGCCAAACCAAAACCTTCACCCTCTTACACCACCACCTCTTCTTCAGACTCTTTTCTTCTCTTTCTCTCTTGGTATCGCGACATTAGCTCCCCAACTCATCCTCTACCATCTTCTTTCTCTATTTATCTATCTATCAATCTATCTGTTCTTTTTCTCTTTCACGCCGTGCCATGCCAACTATAGACCGATCCGACGCAGAAAACTTTGATTGTACGTAACTTGAATACGCCTAAAAAAGGAAAAAGGATAAAAGACAGAGATAGAAAGAGAAAGAAGAATAGAATTCGGCTTTATCGTCGTCGCGTCTTCTCGGTCTTCTCTCAAAAGTACGATGAGATTCGAACTGATTGGAAGTCCCATCGTTGAATGGCTTTTTATCTATTTCTATCTTTCAATCCTTATTTCTATATATAAATCAATCTTTTCTATGATCATTATATATATTATATATAAAATACATTTATTATTTATTTTAACATTTTTTTTTTTCATGTTCTAGGACTCTATACTAAATGTTCGATTATTTTTTACATATTTTTATCTCCATTTGAAATTTTATTGTGTAAAATAATATTTTTTCTTGGATTTTGTAAAAATATTTTAAAAACTTGTCCGCGTTAGTATACATTGAAACGTTTTTGTTTTTCTACTTCAACAGTTATATATATACTTGAAACAAGTATGAGTCAGTCTGTTGTATATGTATTCATAATGCAATGTTTCTTGCTTGAGGGTAAAGTTGGACGGTAAGTTTGTCTGGTGTCTCACGTTATTCATTACTTTCGCTCCGTCGACTCGTCGTCTCTAGAGCAATCCTGAAGAATGATACGAAACGAGAGATTAGTATAAACGCAAATGTAACCTAGGCTTTTAGGTGGTATGAGAGGGCAAGGGAAAAGGAGGAGGAGGAGGAGGAGAAAGAGGGAACGTAATCAAGCGTAACTTTTCATTCCTGGTAGTCAGTTCGTAACATTTTCAAACGAATGATACGATTTAGTTGAGCAAATTGTTAAGAACTCTCTGTGTTGAAATTTATCGAGTATTGAAATTGAATACATACATATGCACGAACGAATTGAACGAACGAACGAACGAACGAATGATATGGACTGTGACTACTATTGCGAATTGCGTAATCGATCTTCATATCGTTAATTTATTACTCGTAAGAGCTTAATTAACGTTATGGTCGATTCGTATTTCAAACGCGGCACGTTATTGAATTATTTCGAGTATCCTTTATTTAATAGAACGATTACGTTCAAGATTAGTTAATTTATTTATTTTAGGGATATTCTCCGTTCCATATATCCGGGGATAATACCGAGCGTTTTCCATTTACATGGATGTATAGATACATCAATCTGATTTATTATAATTAAATGCGTTAATAGATATTCGATTTTAATAAAATCTACTTTAAATTGTTATTTTACACGATTGAATTCATTTGAAGTTAGACAAAAGTTTTTATTTTTTTTAACCTACCGCAAAAACAATTTGGTTTCTTTTTCTTTTTTTTTTCTTTTTGTTCGGTCGAAGTAACTTTGTTTTTGAAATTTTTCGAAGAAGAAGAAGAAAAAAAAGGTTGAAAACTTTTTAAACCCACCCCCATTCATAGAGGAGCTACTGTTTTTTTTTGTTTTGTTTTTTTTTCTTCGCTTACACAATTAAACTCGTTTTCGTTTTACCGTATCGTAGAAAGAACTTTTCTTTCGAAAGATAATCGAACGGGCATTAGATTAATGTCTTTCAATCTTGATCTCATGAATTGCATGAAGTAACGAAGGGTTTTTTTCAACAAATAGCATGCCCTGTTTCACGCATTGAAGTACTCGGACAATCGATATTACTTGAGGTACGTATATGTACGTGTATTTTGTATTAGAAATTTAAAAAAATAATTGGTTGCTTTTCAAGTGCAACAATATCCTTTCACAAAATGGATTATTTTTTAGTCGATAATTTATTTTCATTATTTCTCGTATTTATTGGACTTTTGATTTTTGTTCTTTATTAATCGTTGTTAATTTATTTCACTCATCGAGACATGTTTTATATCTTTCGATATTATTTTTCAATTTTAATCGTTCGATTTAACAATCGTAGATTATACTTTTCGATTATCATTTGATTGAATGAATAATCGATAATGTTGAATGTTGTTAAATATTTCTTCTTTGTTTTTTTTTTTAATTTTATTGTTTCTTAAAATATCGAAAAACATCAAGAACGACTGACATCTTTGATAGAATTTTTGAAATTCAAACTACCCTTAGCTGTTGCCGGTAAATAGATAAAGCTCGAGATATTGATTTAACAGAGGGTAAAAGCTGCTTCGTATTTTACTCGTTCTCGATAAGGTAGAAAACAACATTAAAAAAATTGTAATAAAACTTAATTTAAGCTCATAAGTTGATAAAAAACGAAACGTTATATCATTCGATGCTTGCTTTATTCAAATTTATATAAGAAATCACAATTTAGCGTGTGTTTGTACCACGTACTACTAATTAATAATAATAATGATAATAATAATAATAATAATAATAATAATAATAATAATAATAATAATAATAATAATAATAATAATAATAATAANATAATAATAATAATAATAATAATAATAATAATAATAATAATAATAATAATAATAATAATAATAATAATAATAATAGCAATCATAATAATAATAATAATTTTTATACAGAATATTAATATAACAATTTGTAAATAGAATATTAATATAATAATTTGTATATATATAGAATATATTGACAAGTAAAAAGAAATCGTAAGCGGAAGAACAAATCGATATCGTATTGGTGGTGGATTATCAATACAATTCGATCAATTGTCTTTGCTGAAACGATTTCGAAATTTTATTTAAGGAACATAAAATATTTAGAATTAAGGTTCGTCTGTCTTAATTTTTTCGGTCTGAGCTGAAACATTATCTGAAACTGGTTCTGGTTCGCGTATTCCCATCCATTTGCATCGCTTTTCTAATTCTTGACGATACCTTTATGAAAAAAAAAAAAAAAAAACAGAAATATTGAATTTAATAATAGAAATGAAATAATGATTTTTACATGTGTACAAATAAAAATTACCTCGGATGATTGATAGCATAAATCCATGGATCTATGCAGGAAACACTTTTAGCGAAAATTGCTGGTAACATGGCAACGTGTGGTGTCAACAATTCGCTATCAACGAATAAATTCATAATTAAATTGAATAATATCAAATAAACGAGTATATTTAAATAATATAACATTCTTTATGTTTTCATACCTATTACCAAAAGCACCGATTATTGCAACAATTGCATAAGGTGTCCATGCACAAAGAAATAGGAAGAAAATCGTGAAAGCTACTTTAGCGATTCTAAGTTCGACGCATCTTTCCTTATCTTGATTTGATACTAAAGATTTGACGTTCATTTTTTTAGCCTGATCACGAAGCATTTTTTCGTGCTGTCTAATTGATCTAATTAATTGAGAATAAAAGTATACGATTAGGCTTAACGGTGTTAAATAAGACCAAAAGAAGATAGATCCCACGAAGACTCTAGTGTCCGAATTATCTGATAGAAAATCAAAACTGCATGTGGTGAGGTATCCCTCTGAAATATCAAACATAGATAAATTATCAGTAATGGATAAAATCGTCAATGAACAAAATCATCGTAATACCTGGCACATATCTGCCCCATATCTCGGTAAGCGGTAAAATTGAAAACGGTAAAGCCCAGAACCAAGTAAACGCAATGATTAATCCAGCTTGAGATCCGTTGAGTCTACCATCTATCGGACACGATATTGTTCTGAAAAAAGATAATAAACAAAAAAATATATACAAAATTTGTATTTATTGTTTTGTATCAAATTGTTTAAATATTATTTGTAGATATTTTATCTGATGTTGAATAGAAAGGAAATCATTAGAGATACCTGTAACGATCATAGGCAATAGCAGCATTTGTGATAGCTTGTCCAATACCGGAAATACTTCCAAAGAATGCAAATATAGCACAACCCAATTCCCAGCCCCAAATACGTTGTAGGAAACTGTTTACTAAGAAGTGTGGCATTTCAACTGCCATCGCCAGATCGAAGAAGGCAAGGTTAACTATAAACATGTTCGAAGGTGTCCTCAAATTTTTTGATCTGTAATAAGCATTTCAGTTTTATCAGAATACGATAGCAGGTAAATTCTAAACACGATGCTACTGTAAACTGTCTAAAGATGGCGTTGAGTTAAACTTAAATATTTGATAAATGTAATATAAAATAAAATGAAAATGACACGCGCGTGTGAGTAGATAATAATTAATAATAATGATAATAATTTCTCGTTAAACTTTGGACATATGTTACATACGTGGTAAATATCCATATGACGCATCCATTTCCAACGACTGACATGACAAACAGCATAAAATAAATAAGAGAGAGTCCAATGTGCCAATATTTTCCAGGTGCAAGGTATGCCCTCCAGTGTACGTGCACGAGTCCCATGTGTTCCGGTGGTATGTTCCAACCCAAATACCTTTCTTGCATTTGTTGAACGCCACTAATGATTATAAAGAAAGACAAGTCATAGAAATTGGGACGTTAAAACGTTTTATCTCGAAAGATAGTTTCGATAAGTACCGAGTCCTTATTAAAGTTTGATAGACAAAAATTATAATCCCTTTTTCTTCTTGACATTTTTGAACCCCTCGCTTATCGACGTACCGAGTATTATTAGCTTCGTAAAGGAATTGTTGATGGGAAGGATTACGAGAATGAACTAACCTTCTGATTGACTAAATTTCGACAGATATTCGATCATTGTACGATCGATTTAAATTTGTTCGTCATATTTTTTTATTTTCTATTGAAAATTTGTTGTTTTGTACTTTTGTAAAATCACTCATATTATATATGCGATAAGTGTTGCACGATAGTGGGATTAAGAGAAACAAAGGAGGAAGAATAAGAAGAGAGAGGAAAAAGGGATACCTCTGTACGCACGTAAGCTTCCTGTGTCTACTTCGCCGGATTATTTCTCTCCTTTCATCCTCGGAACAATGTAGAATGATTATGAAAGAGAGAAAAAAGGACAAGAAAGAAGGAAAAAAAAGAAAAAGGATAGAGGAGTTACGTTTTACCTACCCCATTCCGCTGACAAAAGCCTGAGGGCCATTCTCGAAGGTATAGTTCTGTAGCAGCATCCTTGAAGTCTGTGTCGTTGGTTTGTTGGTTGGTAGACTGACGAATCGTTAAAATGGATCTTTCAAAAGATACGAGGTGTCTGAACGAAGATTTTTAATCGTCGACTTGACGAATCCTATCCACGTCCAAAAGGTTTTCAATCCTTCGGACCTTGGATAGATAACTGTCGTTGATAACGAAGAAAGCAATAATAAAATTTCAACATAATTCAAAAGTTCTTATCTATATTTTGTTTATTTGTTCGTTCGTATATACTTTTTAATGATTAATTAGTTAATTATTTAATTTAGCTTACACCAAGTCAGATTATTTGAACTTCTACTAAAGTGTCTACGGTCCTTTTTCTGATCGGAATTGAAGTGAGACGCGGTTGACAGCACGCTCCGCAACTCACTTGGTCCGCACCAAATTTGTTGGGCTCTTTTATATCATTCAATCTCCTCAATCGAAGCTGACGTGCCGGTTGATAGCTTAATTCGATTTACGAATGTAAGAAACCTTTTTCTACCCTCGAATACGTCCAGTCACGCGAACTTGACTCTACTCCTCCTCCTCCTCCTTCTAGTTTTTCTATGAGAAGAGATGTCCTTTCGTGATGTACTTTTAATCCTCTGTCAAGGTGATCGAAATCGAAATCGAATCTTCTTATTTTATGATTTATACCAAAGCGTGTACAAGTAAATGAACGCATTAGATAGAAAGGTTTAGGGTTATCCATTAAATTTTTATCGAGATAATCATTTGATTTTTTAAGTACACGTAAAAAAAGATGTAAGATTATTGCGAGGTTAAATCTGTTGCATCTTTTTATTGAAAGAAAATAAAAGAAGAGGTGAAAAAAAAAACATAAATTATATGAAAACATTTCCTTAGAGAATATTGCGAATAATCCAGCATCATCGTGACCGTAGAAAACGAGTACGTAGATCCATCGTCATAAATATAATTCTTCTTTTCATATTCACGGTACGAGGAAATGAAGAATGGCGTGTCGGTTGAGAGTTTAATTCGATTTAGAAATGCAAGAAACCTTTTGTTCGGCTGAGACCAGTCGGTCACGCAACTTTATTTCAAATCTACCCCTTTTATGCCTCTTCGTCCTTTCGTAATGCTTTGCGATAGTTCGCATTTCTTTGTTCTTTATTTTCTTTAGTGAAGGTAACGTTGGTCGTCGAGAGTTTAGATTCTTTCGTTGTGCAAAGAAAAGTACGCGAAGGAATATTTCAAATCGTAGATTTATTTAAAAAGAAAAAAACTAGGAGAACCCCATGTGTTACCGTTTGGAAGAACACGAGGACCAAAATAGAGAATAATCGTGGCAATTGGTTTGTGCATTTGTCTTTCTCTTTCTCTCTCTCTCTCTCTCTCTCTCTCTCTCTGGAATGGTGGAACGACGTTAGTTAGAACGGGGGGAAAGCTAACAAATTGTCCTATCCATTAATCTCTCCAACGCATACGCTTCTGATCGAGAGACTAGGCGTTAATAGTGGAAGAGAATGAGATCAATTTGGTGTTTTCATACTTATGAACAATGTCATCGTCATTGTTTCAAGATGTAAGAAGAAAATGGAAATAATGAAAAAGAAGAAAAAAAAAGAAAAATAATAAATAAAGGATTAAATGATACTAGAGATTTTACGTTGGTTTTTTTCATAAAGTCAAATGAACGAGACTAGAGGATTCATCTGGTAGAAAAGAAATTCTCATTCGTATATAACACAACTCAACTACAGAGAGATAGAAAGAAAGAGAGAGAGAGAGAGAAAGAAAGAGATAGTGCATCATGCGTGCGAGTATTCGAGTTCAACGGGGAACAACCGCAGCCTTCCCTTGTCCACCGAGTTAAATCATAAAATTGTCCGTGGGGTGGCCACGAAATTCCACTGATTTACGAGCAGCAGGTCGTCCGTTTTGCTCGTACTCGCGCCGATGGCTCGATGGAGTGTTACTGTGGACTTGGTTGAGGGAACGTTAAAATATTCCCTCTCTCTCTCTCTCTCTCTCTCTCTCTCTCTTTTCATCTTTCTTTATTTTTTCAGCTTCCCTCCTCTTTATCTCCATACTTCGTTTTCTTTCTTCCTCGCTGGAAGATACCGTTTCACGTGTGTTTTTGTACAGTGATCCTGGTCATGGAGAAATGACCACGAAAAAGGGAGAAAAACAAGCGCGACGTATAGTACAGGAGAGGTAAAAAAAAAAAAAAAAAAAGGGAACTTGGATTTTCATAGCGTAGCGTAATAGTAGGTAGTAGCAGGTAGTAGTAGGTAGTGTAGGGTAGCTGAGTTTTTCACGATTCACACAACAGATATATTTACGAGCTTTGTTCGTTCGTGTAATTTTGGCGACTCATCGAGGTCCAGGCCCAGTGTTGTTCACACGCGATAGAAATTTCGTTGGGTAGCTTGAATGACGTACAATGAAACACTTCCGGTTGATTCGCGATCGCGTTGTTGGAAATGTAACCAGGGATTAACTTTTTTTTATTCTCTCTCTCTCTCTCTCTCTCTCTCTCTCTTACTCTCACACTCTTACTCTCCTATCCTATTTACATATTATAATCGATATTTATTATTTCCTGTCATATTTAATATCATCATTATATTTAAAAAATATGAAAAATAATATGCATCCTCTATCGTAAACACGGTGCATGTTATTTTCTATCCAAACGACCTCTCCTGTTCCTGTTTCCTGTTCATTCATTTTTTATAAGTGTCGTCGACTATCTCATTTTCTTTTTTCTTTTGTTTTATTTTTTACTTTTTGCTCTCCTTTCGATCTCTCGAAACTCGCCGTAGGTTTTGTATCTCTAAGATATTCATAGTAAAATCGAGCTTTTACTCTCTTTCTCTCTCTCTCTCTCTCTCTCTCTCTCTCTCTCTCTTCGTGGTACAGCAAGCACGATATGCTAGCTTTTTCTTTTGTTTTTCGTGTGCTTTTAGCGTGTAGTAGGTAGCGGCATGTAGCTCGCGCACGTTGTCCGATATAAATAATGATCGATCGTACTGTAGGTTTCGAACTGGCTGCTGGGTGGATGGCTGGTTGGTTGGTTGGTTGGATGGTTGGCAAACGGCAATGGAGAAAGGTATTCGATTGGACGTTACTCTCTGTATCTGTGCGATACTCGTTAGGTAATGCACTACTCGATGGAAGAATCCTTGCTGTTTCCTACCCCGTTAAGCAGGTATTGGACATTGTATCAGAACCATTTTAAACAACTCGGAAAGCTACTCTCTCTCTCTCTCTCTCTTTACTCCGATGACATTACGAAAGCTGGAACATGACATATTTGAAAGTCGAGAAGAAAAACCTTCAGGTAGAGACAATACGAGAGAAAGCTAAATGCACCTAGCCGATTTTACAGGATAAAGAAGATGTAATAAAAAATTTTCGATAAGCTGAGATATATCAGATTAACGAACAATCAAACGGATCGATCATTTCAATAAGGTTTGTTTTTTCTTTTTTCCAATTGAAACGAATTGCATTTGATATCGATATAATTTTTAACGAATAAGTTAATCGTCCAGTATAATTCTAGTATGATTTTTTAACATGATCATCCCAAACACTTCTATCAGAAGTATTATACGGTAAAACTCATTTTTACATCAAATAATATTTTCTCTATGATAATATTTGGAGTACTTTTTAAGTCATGTACTACTTTAGATACGCATGACGTGGTAATAACAGAGTTAGTCGAATACGGCTTGGCAAGAAATGTGTTAAATATCAAACACACGGATCATTATAAAAAAAAAAAAACCTTTTTTAATACGATTGAGACGACCTGTGATATTACAATTTCATATAATATTACAACGTTCTCGTTATTGATTTTGTAAATAATATACGTAAATATAGATCATGTTTCAAAAATCGAGGAAATAATGTTAACATTGATTTTATATAGGTACACCCTTTTTTACCCAAGGGATAAAACATTTTCAAGAGAGGCAAAAACACAAAACGGACATCGCATGTTCTCTCATCAGCGTAATTGTTTCCTTTTCTACTACGTGCGAGAAGGATGGGAAATAGGAAAGAACGGAGTTTTGATGTTGGCATCGTCGTGCTATTATCACAGTCGTCATTTTGGATAGAAGGAAGGAAGGAAGGAGGGATTGTGTTGTCAACTACCAATAGAAAGAAAAGAAAAATTCTGCCATTTGAATCAACATCAGGAACATTTATTTTTTTTTTCTTTATTATACTTTTTCGTCCATTTTCTATACTTAGTAGTCGTTTCTCGTGGTCGTTGCATTTTGTGGGTTCCGTGTACGGTGGCTTAAACGAAAAACAAAGGAATGCAGTTTGAAGAGGGAAAAGGAAAATACACGGATTAAAGAGGATTAAACGCTAATTGATCGGTCGGTCGATTCCTCCTCCTCCTCCTCCTCGTTTTCGTACTCCTACTACACCCTCTTGCTTGTTTGATAGCTTCCTTAGTGTTAGTCAGGGACACGGGTTCCTAGGTTAAAACACAAGAGGCATCAGCCTAGGGGAATAATGGCTTTTGAGGAGAAAATAATAATATTAGAAGAAGCCGACGAAATCAAAACGTTGTTTGGACAAACAGTTTCATCTAAAAATAGGATTACAAAACTAGTTCTTTCAATGTCTTTTTTTTTTATTTTTTAAATAATTTAATTTAATTTAATTTAATTTAATTTAAAATAAGTCACACAAGTCGACCTAAAAATGTCACATATTTTTATAAACCAACTCTGATTATTATTAATAATAATTTTTTTTTATTTAACGTTAGTTTTAATCGTTCGATATTATTGTTGGTTCCTTAACATCGAAGAGTTGGGAGTGGAAGTGAATATTTAGTGTTGCAACATGAATGCAAAAAGATTGACACTCTTTTTTCCAAGTCAGGAGGGATCGTGATTATTCAAATTGTGTCATCGACTCGTACTCTCACGAGTTGAAATAAATTTTATTCGCATTGATGGATCGACTACTATCAAATCCCTTTTACCTTTCCCCCTCTTTCTCTTTTTTTTCTTTATATTTCATTGAAACAACCCTCTTTTTCTTCAATAGGAGGATGTACATACCAAAGTTACGAGCGAAACACGAAAGCCCAGTTATCGAGATTGATTTTTCTGCGAAAATTGGGCACAGATCTTGTAACACAAGTCTAGCCCCGAACCCCGTCCTCCTCCTCTTATCATTCTCTTCCATTCTTATTTCATTCTTATCGCTATTCCATTCTTTACGAGCTTTCCGATCAGACTCGAGAGCTATACCGAATATATTTTCAAACTAAATGCAAATGATTTTTTTCATGCTAAATTGTTATCAAATCGATGAACCAAATTCATCGCAGAAGAAGTCTCAGAGTTATAAAATACAAAAATAATATACAGGGTGATATTTTTCTAAAGTTTGCAATGATTTTTATGAAACGTTAATCTAACAAATAAAATAGTCACGAACAATTATTTTACAATTTCTTTTAATTAATTACATTCAGTAAAATTGTTCAAACGATTAAAAGAAAAAAAAAAGACGAAGTTTCCTTAACTTTTTTTTAATAGCACATCACCCCACGTATGTTTTTTTTTTTTAAATAGAAATCTAAGTATAAATATAATAAACATTTATAATGAATAGAAATGCAGATAGCAATAAGACAAATTGAAGAAATAAAAATTTATTTCAAATTATACTAATTGTAAATCTCAATAAAAGATAAGTTAATAAAGTGAAAATTTGCTAGCATTGATAAAATTAGCGAAGACTCACTTGTATGTATATATATATATATATATATATATTTAATTATATTATAAAATAAACTAGAAGTTTAAGGGCACGTTGAATGAAAGCGAACTCAAGTACACAAAGTTAAACTTAATGTAGCGGCAAAGTAGGTAGTTGTTGAAAAAAAAAAAAAAAAAMAAGAAAAAGAAAGAAAACAAAAAAAAATTCAATTCGCGCGTCGTAAGTCGATGAACAAACAAGAACACGAACATAAGCGAATGAGCGAGCGAGCAAGTTGAAAGGAAAAGTTCTTTTTTGATGAACTTAAGTAAATCGTATTATTCTACCCTAAGCCCTTGTCTTCCCCTCCCGCCACCCCAGTCTTGTTCTCTCTCTTGGTTCGTTCTCATTATTTTCTTTTTACTTTTGTAGTTTTTTTTTCTTTTCCTTTCTTTTTATAATTATTTAAAAATTCTTATTATTACAAAAAGAAATTTGCAAACAGTTTCGCATCGTTTACTNTTTTTTTTTTTTTTTTCTATTCTTTTCTTTTCTTTTCCTTTCTTTTTATTACTTGTTCTTTTTTTTTTATTAATTCTTCTTTCTCTTACCACGTCGACCCTCTACTTCAGGGGGTAGAGAGCACGCGGTCGCGCGCTTTTATTCCGCAATTAACGGTCGAGAAAAAGGGGTAGAAAGAAGGAAAAAAAGAAGAAAATTGAATAGGGAAGGGGGGAAGAGAAAGAAGGAAAGACAAACTGGCAGCTAACTCTTGTGTCTTCTGACGACAATGAAACGCAGCAAGGCCTCTTATTTAGCTAGCACATTCGACGCAATTCTTTCTTTCTCGTTTCACCTACGTATTCGCTTTTCCCGCTATTTCACGTTGTATTTGCGTTTCTCTTTGTTTCCGATATGCCGCTCAAAAAAAAAAAACGGAAGAAATAATGAAGAAGAATAGCCGTGAATGAGACAGACAGACAAACAGAAAAAGGGGTGGAAATCAATGATGAGAGAAAGAGAAACGAAAAGATAAAAAAGAAAACAAGAAAAAGTATGCATCGATACTATACCAATCTCCACATCCCAAAATGAAGAAGAAGAAGAATAGAAAAGATAAGAAGAAAACTCGTAACGAAGTTAAAATAAAAATCTAAGAATTTAATCTTATATATGAAATATTTTGTAAAAATCGCGATAGAATAGAATTTGATTTCAATTGAAAAGAAATACAATAAACACACAAGTATTGTCAGAAATTGCAAAGCTGTGTTACTTTGAGAATGGGATGGGGGAAAGAGAAAGAAAAGTATCTCCCATCATTTTTCCTATTCTATCTTGAAAAAGGATTTTCCCCTTTTCTTTGCAGTTTTTGACTGGTTTTCACGAGTCGATCATTATCGCATTGAAAATATTTTTCTATAGATTTTCTATGTTACGAAGAAATTCATTCGTACGTGAAATAACCTTGGTCAATACGCACAATGTGCATTCGCACGCGTACATATGTGTGTGTGTGTGTGTGTGTACGTGGGGGGTCGGTTACAGAATGCGGTCTCTGGCAGGTAAGCAAAGCCGATTGTTAGAAGCCGCAATTTCCAACATCTGTGCGAACGAACCATGTTACTACGTAGCTACTGCACCAATTGCCTGGCTTGATCTCGACCTCCTCTACTTCTACACACCAATTCGACTTCTCACGCCCGAATAAACGGTATTATCGTACTTTTGTTCGGTCAGGCTTGAAAGACCATGCGAACGATAGAAACAGAGAAACAGTAGCTGACAGAGAAATAGAAAGAGAAAGAGAGAGAGAGAGAGAGAGAGAATCGAAGCAGAACACGTATGGTAGTCGTAATGTCGTAAGGTTTGTTTCCAGAACCATAAAACGCCACTGGTGGACTCTTGTAACTCTCTCTCTCTCTAACTACATATATATATTTCTGAAGCAAACCTCCTGTATTTGTTCGATATAGGGTGCTTCCTCGAGGTGAATCAAGTGGCACTTCTACTTCAATGATGTTTCCTCCACCCCTTTCCTTCTCCATTCTACATTGTTCTACAATCCATTTGAGAAAAATGTGAACAAGGACCAATGGATAATCTTATTTTGTAGATTCCTTTCAATTCGATTTCCTTTCCTATTGATATCAAATATTTGTTATTGTTATTATTGTTGTTGTTGTTGTTGTACTATAACATCCATAGGGAGTCAATCGAAAAGAAAAGAATAGAAGTGGAAGTATAAAAAGATCGGTAAAGAGAAAGATAAATTGATGAAAGAGATAGAATGGCAGTAATTGGAATGAAATCGGTCGAATTGAAATTCACTAGGAAAAGGTCGAGTTGCTGATGTTAATGATTGGAATTGTGATCTTTCATGCGTCATAAGTTCTATCCCGTTAAGAGAAGTGAAGTGAAGTGAAGTGAAGAGAAACGAAGGGAAAAGTAAAGAAGAGAGGAAGAGAAAAGGGAGAGGAGAGAAGAGGAGAGACGAGCCGTGTACGTTTCACAGTAGTTACGGAAGGTCTTGGTCGGACAGATTTCACTTCGCGTTGAGTATTCAAAGGCGTACAAAGGGATGATACCTGTGTAGCTTGATGCAAATGAAACGCCTAGTAGGCTCTGAAGGGCTTAATCAGTCGACTTTGATGGAGGAATCGAAGTAGAGTAGATACAGACAACTGATCTTGATCGGCAATACGATCGATCATTTGACCTGCACACTTTGCTAATCGAACGTGTTATGTAGCCCCAGTCTAACTGGTCGGCCCTTACGAATTCGAGGAAAATTACTCTGACATGCGTAATGCTCTTAACGTTTGTTAAACGTATCGTCGAATAATCTACTTCCGTGAAATATTATAATAATAATAATAATAATAGTAATAATTTATTTATGATTTTAATAAAAGATCATTTTTCATTTATTATTGAAAGAAGCTGGGGTGTATCGTATTCTTTGTAATACGTTTTCTCTTTCTTTTTTTTTGGAGAAAAAGAGAGATGGGAAAAGAGAAATATAGGAAATTGTAAAAAACTGAAATAAAAAGAAAAAGAAGAAGAAGAAGAAACATCGAAAAGACGAGTAGCGAGAGTCGTGACTGAAATAACTTTTCATCCCTTATCCTTTCTCTTTATCCTATCCGCAGTCGTAGTTCGAATGTGCCGTTGCTACATAGCTCGCGAATACAAAGAAAACCGCGTAACGTCGATTTTGCGAAATTCTTCGACAAAATTTCCATAATTTTGGTGCATTGTCTTTTGATGTTCCGGAGATGAAAGAACTAAGAGAAAGAGAGCTGAAGAGAAACCGTCGAGGCATAGAATATCGTATCCACTTCTTTTCTTACAGACTATCATCTTACTTCACGTCTGCTCTTTTGTTTTATTTTCTTCTTCTTCTTTTTCTTTTTTTTTTCTCTTTACTTTCAGAACACACTTAAATATAGTTGCGTCAAAAAGAAAGTGAAAATTATTTCGTAGTCGTTCCATCGGGAAAGTCACATTTTCTATGACGATGAAGACGACACAACGTTTTCATTATCAAACCGAGCATCGTGGAAACGCAATTTTTCGTAGATATTCGTCGTAGTTGAAAAGCACGTCGTCTCGTATGTACCAACGACAACGACGAGTAGTCAACGCGCGTCGTACAAGAGAACGAGAGAAAGAGAGAGAGAGAGAGAGAGGAAGAACTTGACAAATGAACATCCCAGGGTTGGAGGAAAAGCACAAAGAGCTTGGGGTTTACAAAAGCGAGCACAACATCTTCCAACCCTCTGATAAGCTTCGATAATCCTCCGGTGTTAGAGAGAACGAGAGAAAAGTAGTGTGTCTGACGGTATTCAAGGAAAAGAAATAATATCGGTAGGAGAATTGTAATATCAGAAAAGAAGGCGCGATGAGTAGGACAAAAGTCGGTGTGAGTGTGGAATACTCGAAGAAAAGGGCAGCAAGCAAGCAGCAGCAGTATGGTGCCCTTGAGGGAAAGCGAGAAGAAAAGGTTTTTGCTCGAAGTAGTCTGACTCGTCTGACTTTTGTAGAGACAAAGCCAATGAAAATGAAAGAAAAAAGAAGATAGAAAAAGAAAGAGAGAGTGTCGTCGCGTTAGTGGTACCTAAAAGTTCAGTTGCTGTTGCTTCGGTGCAGTTGCTAACAGTGTTGGTGGGTGTTGATAGAAGGAAGAACGGTGGCGGTGTGCCGTTAAACTCGAAATTCTAAAAAATAACAAAGGGATACG